CTGTGCTTTAAAAGAAGGTGATGAGCAGCTGTGCTGATAGAAGCCTAATCCTGTTGGTTTCTTGTACGTCTATCTGAGAAGGTCTGTGGGCTTCCTCCCTGCAGGGGCAAAGATGGCAAAACCTTAAGCATCTCAACCCCAGTCAAGTGCTAAGCTGCTCAGGATTGTGGCGCTTTGGGGACCATAAGGTCACAAGCTAGAAGCCCTATGAAGGCTAGATAACTCAAAGACCAGAGGACAAGTGAGCCAATTTTGTTCTTCTGCCTTTACATTCCACCAAATTGTCTGCATTGGTGCTTAAATCCTGTTTTGGATCTGATCCATGGACTCTGGCCTAATATCAGGTTTCACTAACAGTTTATTCTTCTTTTTAAGCCTACTGTACAAATCAAAGACTTTCAGGTAAAATAAATCAAGTGTTTAAGCAGGATGCCACAACAGTTATCTTCATTCACAACAATGCCACATATACATGGCAAACAGCCAGCTGCTCTTGATATACTTACCAATGCCAAGAAAACTTGGCCTTTAATAAGCTGCCTAATTAACTACTAGTCTTACGATGTACAGCTCAGTTTTCCTAAGTCATTCCTTTGCCAAAGCTTCATCTTAACATCTATTGCCTTCTGTGTAGCAAATGCATTTCCTTGTCATTCTTTTATTTTGGAATTATTGTAATGCAGATCAAGGGCCAGACTCTGAATTCCTTCTTTAGAAATACCGAGAAACACTCATGGAAGCTTCTGCTGCTATTTGGAGGCAATTACATGAGTATACAGATCAGAATAAGCAATGAACTTTTGAAATAGAAACCACACACCAGAGCAAAATAATCATTGGAAGCTGGTTTTAAGTGTCAGGCGAGTCCCTGCTTTCTTAGTGCTTTAGCTGGACTATGAAAACTTGAGAAGACCTACATAGATTTTTTAGATGGGATGACTACATCAGGGCCTGATTTTAACAACAACAAAAACTTATTTTTGAGGGGTATAAAAACTTCTAACGTACTCCCAGAAACTTTACTTCATAAAAGTCTGAGACTGCTTTTCAGGACTGCCCAGGAATATTAAAAATATGGCTATTGATGCTGGTAACAAATAATCCATGGCCAGGACAGCTGAAGGAGGTTTCAGTCAAAAGAACTTTTGCCATAAAGATTTAAATCAGTGAACTCTAAACAGGTGTGATTTTCAATAGCGTCACTCAAAATCGTGCTGTTGGAAAGCACCATGTAACTGGGGAATGGTGAGGTGATCCAAAAGCAACTTTTCAGAATGTTTGTGTCAGAGATGCCATTTGATAGGTTTCAGTTATTTATTAAGGGTATACCGCATGATGCTACAAAGTGAAATATATTGAAGTTCAAATCATGCAGAGGCAAGAGAAATAAAGAATAAAGGAGATCATGAGTTGAGAGCATAATGGAAGTGAGTCTTAGTAATCTGCTTAAGTGGTTATTGACAATGTCAGCATTAGCTTAAAAACAGCATCCCCGTGCAGTCATGGAGGACTGAAGCCTGCAGTGAAAACCAGAAGGCTCAGCACAAGCTCTCTGTTCACAGCGCAGCCAACGTGTACCCTGCTCTAGCAGCAGGTGGGCAACCTGTGGACATCCCTCCCCAATAACAGCTTCATACAAAGAAGCTAACGCCAGAAAATGTCTCCTGTCCTTGTTTCCAAGATCCTTTACAAGCTTCCTCCACCGTTGTTACCCAGCTGGGACTGGGTGGGTGGCTGCAGGGCTCCCCACACCAGGGAGCAGCTCAGGCTGCTGTGGAGGCAGTGCCAGTGAGGGAGCTGGCTGGAGGGAACTGGGCTTTACTGTATCACTGTCCACCACTGCTTGGCCACAGTGTGGTGGCTGTCCTTTACAGGCATCCTTGGTCCCACACCATCTGAGGACAGCTGTTTTCCAGCTGTTCCAGGGGTGTTGGAGGAGCTAGGTAGTTTTACACATAAACAAGTTTCAGAATCACTTATGTTCTGCTGTTGTATTTCCTAGAACCTTTAATTAATACAGCCTTCTTGATAGAAAGTAATTTCATCTGACCCAAAGTTACGATATTCCATAAAGAAAGCGTAAAGCCTGCTGTGGTTTGTCTAGGCAACTGTTACACAAATGACCACTGCCTTGGAAGTTACTAGTGGGGTGCTGAGGTGTGTGGATGTGTGTCATAGTCTGGGAAATGGAGGAGCAGTGGTTTGATGAGGAGCCTGGATTTCTGAGGAGAACGCAGGCATGCCGTGTGGTGCAACACCAGTAATGTGTAACATAGGAAAAGTGACCAAACATTGTGATGTCCATTAGTGCCTGCATATGGACATCGCTGTTCAGTTGATGTCCAATGAAGGTGACGTAACACAATCCTCTGCATAGGTTTTGGAATTTTGAGAAAAATATTACTAACCAGCCAAGAGTTAGAAGGGCTGCTTACGTTTAGCATCCCTGTGGTAATTTTTTGTACTCTACACATCCCATCAGAAGCAACTCTAAGGATGTTTATGAGATTGCCTGCTTAGAAAGATTGTGTTCTTTTAATTAGACTTTTTTGTGTCATCAAGTCCAGAGAACCATTGAGAGGTCTTGTCCTGTTCGCTGGTATAGCTTCGTAGCCATATCACTGGCATAGCTTTCTTTTACTTGTAGGCAAAAGGAAATAAATTGTGCGCTGGCATAAGGCATCTGTATGCTGATATAATTGTGCCCACACGTTTAATAATGACACCCAAATGCAAGAAAAGACCAAATGGCACAGAATCCGTTTGCAGAGATAAGGCCTGAATGATTTAATTTTATATTATTATTGGCACTGTCAGCCTGAGAGTAATTTAGGCCTCCTCCAGTAAGCTGCTTTCTGTGTGATTTATGTGCTTTTTGGAACTTGTGTAAGAATATTGATTTGACCGCTTGTGTGGATTCAGTTCTGATTGCTTTGGTGTAAAGGTATCTTACTTCCTGTACAGCTTACACACATTTACTTAGACTGATTATATCACCAGGAAAAGGCATTTTTATTGGGACTGTGAACATGCATTTTTTCCGAGTTTTGTTAATTCATGCTGCTGTAGGTGAACCACTTACAGTCACATTGATGCAGAGCTTAGTCTATGGAAAATGTACCCTTAGGCTGAAAGGGACAGACTCGGGAATGACAGCTAAAACACTGAATGAATATGAGCCCAAGCAAAAGTAATAGGAGTTTAGGGATTGTATCTTCCTTGTTGAATATGCCCCAGATGTTTGATGCTATCATAACATGACCCCACTTAGGGCCTCTTCTAACATTGGTCCAGAGAGGCTGAAAATCATATGAAGTTCATTTGCCTAAATAAAACTAGAAAAATATTTGCATTTCATTTAAAAATGGGCAACTTCATCCTTTGCCTCCCCAGAACCCATGCAGAGCGAGAAGCGGAAGTCTGGGGGGCTAATTGGATGTCAAGGATGGGAGCCAGTGGAGTTGGGGAGAAAATTATCAGCATATTACCTGCATTGCTACAGAGTGGAAGCTCTTCTTAAGACATAGTTTATACCCGTGAAAATTTGGGAACTGAAACACTTTTGAACCTTATTCCTTCTCTTCTTGTGAGGCTGTTTTGTTCCTTGGTACTGTGGTATTTAAATCTTGATACTAAGTAGCACCAAGTGCACACTCACCCAGTAGGGTTCCCAGACACCTGGAAGCCAGAACTGATCCTGAAATTCTTGCTCTATATATGTAATATTGCTATGTAATTTTAGGTTGAAAATTTCTTTATTTCATCTTGGGAAAAAAAAAAAAAATGCATTTTTTTTGTGAAGAGATGCTGTGTCACAGTATCTGTGAAGTCAGTGTGGGTTTTTTTGACTTCAAGTTTGCCAAAATTTGAAGCTATCATAATCAGTAAACACTGTTGACCTGAAGCCTCATAGAGGATATCTGTTATTCAGATGGATTAATTATGAAAGGCTTCATAAAATAAGTTCCTTATAAAGGAGATCTGAAAAGGAAAAGCGAGTCTTTAAAGTGAAAGGAAAAAAGGTGCTCTTTGATCATTTTGATAATAACATTTGATAATAGGATAATACTGTCACAGCTGGAAAATTACAATTTCATTCAACCACAATGAAATGCTGAAGTATTCCAAAGAGCACAGCACCTGCTTTTCCTTCTCAACCCAAAAAAGCACATAGATGTACATTCAGGCTAGTATTCAATGTTCCCTCTGCTTCAGCAGAAGCACTGAAAAGTTACCACTGATGATTAAAACACAATGTCTGACCAAAGCTGCCTTCATCGTTATCATTATCATCCCAGAACAGAGAGAAAAAACCTAATGCTACCTGCAAGTTTTTTGGAGACTTTCCTTATCTACAAGTAGACAACGTGGTTAAGTTGTTGCACCAGTAAGACTAGGAATCAAGGGATTTTACACTCTGACATATCACTGACTCTTTAAGGAACCTCTGAGTATTGCTTAAATACTTGGTATCTTGCGTAATACATTATTAATCATTGTACTGCTTGACAGATGTGCATGAGGTTTAACATATAACAATCTCATTTCTTTAATTGCAAGTGTGAGACTTGCCTTTGGAGAAGAAAGGTGATCTCTGGGTCAAGGACTGATCAGGAGTCTGCCTTGCTTCACCTTCCATAAGTAAAGAGAATATTTTGGTTTTATTGCCAATGAAGAAATGCTTCTGCAGCATGTGTGTTGAGTACCTAACTCAATGCAAGTTTGAGCCTTGCAGAAATACAAATTTAACTAACAATAATTAATGACAGAACGTATCCAGATCCTGTTCAAGTCAATGCAAATGCTCCCACTGATGTTAGCAGGGCTGGAATTGGGTCACTGTGCTTTTAAACCGCATTGACATCTTTAAATGGAATCTTATGTTGATGTTTTTGTCCAGTTCCTGCCGTTTCCAAAGGGCTGGTGACTTTAGCCTGTTGTTACCTATGGGTGTAAATATGTATTTTAATGATTTTTTTTCCCTTTTTCTTCCTGGGCAGGATCTGTGTGGGCATCACTCCTGCGACACCCTGGGCATGGCAGACGTCGGGACCATCTGCTCTCCCGAGCGCAGCTGCGCGGTGATCGAAGACGACGGCCTCCACGCGGCCTTCACCGTGGCTCACGAAATCGGTATGCAGGGCCCTTTCTCTTCACTTGCCAAGTCAAACACTTGTAACAGCTGCATTAGTAACCAAAATACTTTGCAATTAATTCCAGATTTCCCCTGGTCCAGATACTCACTGGGGGATTAAGGCTGTATACATATGCACTTCGGGGTTAACTAATAAGGGATCGGAAGGCAAGTGAAGGCGCACAGTAGGTGTTTCCTTTCTGACAGTGTCGTTTCTAAGCAGTAGTTGAAGTGAAAATTCAAAGGCTGCTGCTACTGTCCAAAGATGCCAGTACTTGTCCCTCCTGGAAAGCATTTGGCTCCTCTGTTGTCATTTGCATGCATTCAGTGCAAGCATGGTGGAAAATAGTTCACGTTTTGAACTACTTGCATGCTCTGCTGTTAACGGAACTTTTTCTTGGGACAAAGTATTAGCTGCAGAGAAAAGCTTTTATGGACAAAACCAGAATTCTAATAGTTTTCCTAAGTCTATGGAAACTCTACCTTCAAAATATAGTACAAAGGTGAATCCTGTAATAAGTGAAATAGGGTGGAAAGGTTTGGTCAGAAAAGGTGTTTAACTTTGTTTCGGTTTCCACCTCAATGGGCAGCAGTTTAATGTAGGAGCCTTACATGCACCCTTCAGATGGATTTAATATAGAATTAGTGACAGAAGACAGTTTATATTCTGTGACATTACATCTGTCATACATTCCTTCAGAGAGGCTGCTGCCATCTTGATTATTTTGAGTTTACTCGTGTTTTGTGAGCTGTGTTCACTGGAAACACATTGGACATGAGGGCTGTTCGCTTTGGTGACTGAAAAGCAATTTAAAAGTGGATAGCATTTTTTTCTTTTTTAACATTCTTGGAAGGAAATAACAAGGAAAGGAGAACTTGCAGACAGAGCCAGTTGCTGAATTGCCTTGTACCTCATGCCAAACCAAAGTAAAGTTTTCTTTGGGAGTATCATTGCAGCAGTTCAATTTTCAAGAAGCTGGCAGGTAAAGCCCAGGCGTTGTGTGCCTTATAGATACATCTGGCTCAGCAACCAGAGGTCACCAAGAATGAAAAAGCAGCTGGCATGTCATTGACCTGACCCTGATGAGTAAACCTCATACTACTGTTCCTGTGGTGCTACAACGAAATAAAATCAGTAGTGGCTGTAGAAGTGAAGTATCACATGTTGCAAGAAAATATAAAATGTTGTGGCAGAATGAGTACTCAAAACAGAAATTTTATTTTAATAAATAAGAATATTAAATTAAAAGCCATCTGAAATCACTGATTCAAACCATTTAGCGATAAGTGCAGCAATACATCAAATACAACATCACATCAGATGAGTGTATTGGCATCAAAGCTGGATGCTGTGGAGCTAATGACCCATCACAAGCCTGGTCTAGAAACAGGGCAGGTAGACAGATTGGCAGATTTAGCCTGTCACTCACAGGACGGCCTGCTAGAGGGACTACTTGTACCTTTTTGCATCCAGAAATGATGCTTACTGCTGAAGGTTAGTAGGCATTGGTGAGGTTGGATGAGGGACCTTCTTGTGGTGCCATTGTTGATGTATCTGGTGTGTGAAGAGGTGAGCAGTGTGTCTTGAATACTGTTTTATCAACAGTAAATATATGTTTAGATTAAAAATGAAAGAACATAGATCAATAAAGATAGAGATGAAAAGTAAATATACATAGTATTACCATGAATTCCACACAAAAAGAAAATGTAAACAAAAGTGAATTATTTTTTAGTGGTCTAGAAGTACATTTTTGAAATATAGCCATTTTCTTACCTAGACATTTACAGGAATCTGTAAAAGCTGTAATTTTCCATGTAAAAAAAGGCACGAATTGAAATGAATAAGTAAGTACCTTAATGGACAACAAACCTCTAGTTTGAGGTTGTTGAAAATGGCATCCCTTTTTTTTCTCCTCACCATAAGATCTTAAGAAAGGAGGGGTGTCAGGTCACAGGATGATCTTTGTGTGCACGTCCTGAAGTGGGAGAAGCTGAGAGGAAAACACAGCTAAAATTGCTCGAGTACTTGCATTAAACTAGAGGTCAAAAAAGGATGAAAAATAAAAGTGTGGCATGGATACTCTTTAGTTAGGCACTTTGGGGAAAACTTGCTTTATTTTACTTGGAGACCAGATTTCTTCCTACAGTTCAGAAGTCTTGAAGTTCCCCTGCCCTGTGGGTGGGGTGTAGCTTTAATTTTACGGTGGCTTAGTTACTTGGTGGAATTCACCTGGCAACACAGGAGATGCCCTGCAAAGCAGAGAGGATGAGTAGAGACTCTAAGCCTCAGGTGCTCTGTTCTGTCAGCAGG